TTACAGTATACTCACAACAAGCTATTTGTCTTCCTGATGAGAAGTGTTTTGTGTTCCTTTTACTTCCATTGCTGTGTGCCTGCTGTTCATTCTAACTTTTAATTAATTGATTGATTAATTTGGAGCAAGGTTTCACTACACGTAGCCCAGTCTGGACTCAAGCTCACTATTAGCCCAGGCTGACCTTGAACTCAGAATCCTCCTGCCTCCACCTCCCTAGTTCTAGGAATACAGTTATGCCCCACTACACCTGGCTCTAATTTTAATTTTGAATGATGTTTCCCAGTGCTAACCTTGGACATGTTGAATTGCGGTGTTTCTTTTGTTGTCTGTTACCCCTCTCCCACCCCATCTCACTCTGGTACACTCGCTAGGCTGTGACGTTCCTTTCCATTCATGGTGTCTAGCCAGCTGCCAGACACAGATTGAAGCTATGTGAAGACTTATTTTTCCGTTAGGTAGTTGCCTGCTGCTTTCAAATTGCTAATTTGTCAGAATTAATATCTGTATTTTGCTACTTCCCTGGTAACCAAAAGCATCTCAAAAAAATATTTGTTTTCTGCTAGCTTTCTCCTTACATTGACCAGTGGAAAATTACAGCCAAATTAGAGATTTATCTTTAGCTACTGGCTTGGTTTTTGTTGTAATCAGATCCTAACTGTTTTTTCTCTTCCCCATTTAATCAGGATTTATTTTTGTTCTCTTAAATACTGTCTCGAGTACAGAACACATAGCTTTTCCACAAATATTCAGTTTTTTATGACAAAAGATTTAAAAAATATAGGTAATCATGTATAAACTATATACACCTTATTCCTGCAAAGATAGTACTGTCCCTTCACGTTAATACTTGTTTACAAAATTGAAAGTGTAGTGGCATAACTTTCTTCTTAGGTATTTCTGTTTTCCAAAATCAAATAAATGAAGGTCTGATATTTAATAAATGCTTTTTTTGAAGAAAATCAATGATTAAATCAGGGTAATTAACATTTCTATCTCCTTAAACCTGTATCAGATTATTGCACTGTACTCTATAAATATGTGTAATTATTTTGTGAAAATTAATTTTTAAAATAATCTTTAAAATTTAATCACCTTTGAACCATGCATTTTGCTCATAGCCTCATGAGTAGTGGCTTCTAACATTCCTCATCCGCGAATGGTATTGGAGGGCCAGCCAAGAGGTCTACATGTTTAATAATGCCACTGCCTTTCATCAAGTTCTTAATATGTGTCAGGCATTGTGCTGGATTGTATACACATAGATATAATTTCTCATTTATTAAGAGACAAGGATTTGCATTTTAAAAGTATAGAAGCAAACTCTGATGGATGACCTGGCCTAAAATTACTAATAGTAAATTACAGACTATCATCTAACTCTAGATACTACCTCTTACAAAACTAGATTTCTCTACTTCAAAGGGACCCATGTATGCTCTGCAGTCATTAAATTGATTTTCATTGATAAAACTGATGTTCTAAGATACCATTTCTAGGCTCATTTAAATATTATTCCAGTAAATCCATAGTCACTGTGTAATTAACCTTGGAAACTCAGAATCAGTTGTAGGATAGGATCATTGAGTGATAATGCATCTGATTTGATCTTACAGAATTATTTTTCACAATTTCTTTGAACTCCAGAGTCTTTTTTCTAACAAAGTGGTAAGTATGCTTGTTATCGTGTTAGTTTGAAGTGTAACCCCAGTAGCACTAGGAGGATGCCTTTTGCTCTTGTTAGGTTGTCTTTTTATGGTTGAGTTGTTTATATATTTTGGATACTAGACGATGCATTATCAGATGTATTATTGCAAATATTTTCTCCCATGCTGTGAATTGTCTTTTTACATTCTTCTAGTGTCCTTTGAAGGATGAGTTTTTAATTTTTCATGAACTGTACTTCATCTGTATTTGCTTTGGCTCTGTGTACATTTGCTGGCATATCTAAGGAACTAGTGACTAACCCAAGATCATAAAGAGTTATACCTGTGTTCAGTTCCTACAGTTTTATCATTTTTGCTCATACACTTAGCTATATGATAAATTTTTGCATATAGTCTGGGGTAGAAATACAACTTTCTTCTTTTGTACGTGAGTATCCAGTTGTTCCAGCACCATGTATTGGAAAGACTCTCCTGTCTCTTAGTGAATTGTCTCTGGTGCCTTTGTTGAAAATGAAGTGTCTTTAAATAGAAGTACTTATTTCTGAACTTTCAGTTTCAGTCTGTTGATCTGTATGTCTCTGCCAGTACTACATTGTTTTGAATACTATAGCATTATAATAAATTTTATAAATGGGAAATGTGTAGTATATCTGAGACAATGCTCCGTGTATAGTTAAGATGAATGTGTGTTCTGCTTTTTTTGGACGAAGTATTCTATAGATGTCTATTAGGTGTGACTGGCTTATATTGCTGTTTAAGTCTTATAGTTTGGCTTCATGTATTTTGATGATTTCTTGTTATATATGTTGGTATAGATGCATACATCCTTATTATTTTTGATCATTTAAAATATCTTTTTCCTCATAACGATTTTTATCTTAAACTCTGTTTTGTCTCATGCTAATATTATAGCTACTCTGGTTGTCTTTGAGGTACTCTTTCCATGGTGTATCTTCTTCAGTCCTTTTTCTCCCAATCTATTTTTGTCTTTGTAAACAAAATGTACCTGTTGTGGACAGCATGTGGTTTGGTCATTTTTTCTATGATGCTTGTTTCTGCCTTTGAATTGATATGCCTGCTTGATCTGTTTATATTTACTGTAATGACTAATAAGGTAGAATTTACATCTGCCATTTTTCTCTTTGATTTTTATACATCTTGTTTCTTTTTGGTACCTTTACTGCCTTTTTTTTTTTTTTCGAAATTATACCACCTTAATTTCAACTGTACACAAAACTTTGCTCACTTATTGCACTATCTTCTCTGATGTTTGTACTGGTGCTGTCACACAATTATATCTTTATATATTACATGCCATCAACATAGAGTTATAATTATGTCTTCATGAAGTTTCCTTTTAAATGAGAGAAGGAAAAAGAATTATAAACCAAAAATATATTAATCTTGTATTTTATATTTACTTAAATATTGGTGTCTGCCAGTGTTCTGGTTTTCGTGTAGGTTCAATTTACTGCTTTATGACCTTTCACTTTCCCTCAAGGACTCCCTTTTGTGTTTCTTATAAAGCAGATCTAGAAGAATAGTTTTATTGGGCGTATTTCTTTTCTTCCTCCCGTCCCCCTCCCTTCCTTCTCTCCCTTTCCCTTCCCTCTCTCTCTTTCTCTTTCTCTCTCTCTCTTTCTTTTCCTTTCTTCTTTTTCTCCTTTCTTTGCTGAATATCGTACTTGCTGTCTCTGGCCTGCAGGATTTCTGCTGGAAGGCAGGAGGTGTTTTTATTAAAGATCCCTCCCATGTGATGATTTGCTTCTCTTGCTTTTAAGATTCTCTCTTTGTCTTTGCCTTTCAGTATTTCTCACCAAACTGGAGAAGTCTCTAATATTCCGTTCATTTTTTCTCATCTTTTTATTTCTTCTAGCTGGATAATGTCCCTTCATCTGTCTTCCAGGTGACTGATTCTTTTTTCTGGTCATATTTACTGATGAACCTCGTCAGTGAATTTTTCAGTTCAATTATCAAACTTTGCAAGTCAAGAATTTGTTTTGAGTCAGTTTTATATGTCTGTATCTATATTCTCTTTAGTAAGGCATTTTGCTGATACTTTTCTTTAGTTGTTTATAAATGATAACTTTAGTTCCTTGACTGTATTTAAGAGAGCTGAATTAAGTTTGTTGTCTAGTACATTCAGTGTCACAGCTTCCTCAGAGACAGTTTTTATTGACAACTGTTTCTCTCTTGTATAGGAACCATATTTTCATGTTTCTTTGCATGTTTCAATTTTTTTTACTTAGAATCACACACAATGTAATTTTTCAACTCCAGGGGTCAAATTCTTCCAGGATTTCTTGTTTGTCATTCTTACTTGTTTACGATGACTTTTCTAGACTGATTCTATAAAATCTGCAGTTATCACATGTTGCTATTCAAATTGTCTCTGTGTTTAGCACTCAGTTCCTTATTGGAGAGGGATTTTATGAAATACCTAGGAACTTCTTAATTCGTGCCAAGGGCCTCCGGATATGTATTGGCACTCATTCTTAAAACTCACCCAGTCAGTCATTTCACAGCTGACTCTGCCTCCACTGTTCATTTCCGTCTCAAGCTGAATCTCAGAGAGGGCGCCAGACCTTCCTGACTTTCCTGTGTGGATATGGCTCTGCACGTGGACATGCCCTCCAGATTCCCAGGAACATTTAAGACTTTTCGAAGCCTGTATGGCTGTTTCATTCGCCACTTTTCCTTTGAAGCTTTTTAATTAGCCTATTATTTGTTGGGTGAATCTTCACTGCTTCAGGCAGCTAAAATCCTTAACAATTGCCTCTAATTGTTTTTTTCTTTAGTTAGGCCTAGAGAGTAAGATTTTTGTACAGAGCGAACTCCTAAGTCAGGTGGAATGGTGACAGTTCTCTGGGAATAGGGTTCGAAAGAGCTCCATCCCTGTTCTGCCCCCTTCAGACTGCTGCTGGTTGTGCTAGGTAGTTTTCAAGGCTCCTTTAGAGCTGGGTCAGGGGATAAGAATAGGACAAGTTTAAAAAGTCCACAAAGCTCGCTGCTCTTACCAGGATTTTGTCATGCTTTCTTTCATTTTTTAAAATGCCCCCTAGATCTCTGTAGTTCTTTGTTTAATTGCCAGGGTCCTGGAAATAATGATCCTAACTTTTTTTTTCAGTATTGTTTTTCCTTTGTGTAAAGAATGTTTGAAGGTTCTTACTCTTACCATTTGTCCTGAAGTCCCTCCTGTATTTATTTTTCTTTCTACTCTAATCAAACATATAATTAAATGTTAGCTGCTTTAATGAAAATGCACTGAAAGCAAAATGCTTCTTTCTTTCCACAAAGTTTTCTGAATGTCTTTGTACTTCTGTTGTATTTTAGGACTATGATGATGGTTATGGCACTGCTTACGATGAACAGAGTTACGATTCCTATGATAACAGCTACAGCACCCCAGCCCAAAGGTAAGTCAGTCCTCACTGCCAGGCCCACACAGACACTGCCCCCCAGTGTGCTCTGAGAGGTTTCTTCTAATTAGAGAAGTGCAAAATGTGCTACCAACTAGTATATTACACCACCTAGATGCACTGTAATGTTAAAGCATTCAAGTTTGAGAAATTAAAATTGAATGCTTAATTTATTCTGAGAATTTATGGTTCCGAGGCTGTGAGTCTTCATTCCTAAGTCACATGAGAAATGTGAGTTTCCTGCCTTGTCAGTGCCTGGAAAGGAGATGCCAAGCTTCGTTTCTTACTTACAGACATGTTGATTTCTTAGTAGTAATGTTCCTGTTTTCTAAGGGCTCCAGATTCCTCCTTGTGAGTAGTGAGTTTTGATTCATTTTAAAAAAGAAGGATTTACCCAGAAATAAGTATTATCAGAGGCAAGAAAGAGATTTATAGTTGTCTCTTCTGATATTCATTGATCAGATGAACAATGCGTTTGACTTCATTGACATTTGAATCAGTGTTTACTCTGTTCATGTTTTCCTAGGTGCGTGGAAACCTTCTGCATGATATTTAATATTCTATGTGGAAAACAAAGATAGATGTACATAAAATAAGATGCTGGCTTTATAGTGATTATGAAGCATAAATAAGTACAGACTGTGATTATTTTAATGAACTCACATGATATCACTCAAGCTTTGAATACACAGCTTCTCTTATTAACTCTGGTGCTTAGGTAGACAGGGACAGATAAAATTCTAACAAAAGATTTCTAATACTTATAAACTTCTAAAAACAAATATCCACAAGTATTTCTTTTTTCTACTTTCTTTTTCTGTCCTTCTTTCTTTCTCTCTCTCTCTCTTTCATGCTTGCTTTCTTTCTTTTGTGCTTGCTTTCTTGCTTTCTTGCTTTCTCCCCCACCCCTCCCTCCTTCCCTCCCCTCTCTCCCTTCCCTTTCTTTGTACTGGGGCTTAAACTCAGGGTCTACACCCTGAGCCACTCCACCAGACCTTTTTTTTTGTGTATGTGAAGGGTTTTTCCAGATAGGGTCTTGTGGACTGTTTGCCTAGTCTGGCTTCAAACCACGATCCTCCTGATCTCTGCCTCCTGAGTGTTAGGATAACAGACATGAGCCACAAGCACCTGACCCTTTTTATTTTTTTGAGACAGGATCTCCCACTATGTAGCTCAGGCTGGTCTCAAATTCACAACCTTTCTACCTTAGCCTCCCAAGTGCTGACATAGGCATGTGCCACCACACTGGATGAATATTTCAGTTTCCAATGTAAATATTCTGGGTCAGCAAGTCTTCCACTGCACTGGATTTGCTGAGTGCATGGTATATTTCTGATAGTGTTTCCATAGGTTTCATAAGGCCTACAGTCTTGGTCATATGAACATATCGCTCCTAACAGTAGTCCTATAAAACACATGTTATGCCTATAAAGGGAAGCTTGAATGACAGAGAGATTCTAGGACTTGGTTGTGAGTACTTGCTGATAAGTGCTAACTGAAAAGGTGTGACTGCCAAGCGCGTATTCATAACCCTGGTTGGGCACTCTTCTGTTAGGTTTGTCTCCATGTCCATCCAGTGTGTTGTACTTTCATCTGCAAGCACATGTTATTACTTAAACTGCATGAAGGTTTGAGTACCTACTGTGTACAGGTACTATCCTTCTGCTTTAAATGTTTGATTACAACTGATGTTCACAGGCACCAATCCAATCCTATACAATAAATATTAATTGTAGTTAACAGATGTGAAAACAGAGGCATCACTTTTAATAAAGCAGATAGGTACCACAGGATTACAGTCCACACAATCTTTAGTTTTTCAATATTTGCATCTAATTCAAAGTACTTTCATTGTTAAATGGCATAATCTGTTAAGGAAAGTGATGCCGTGGTAAACTGACAGAAAACAAGAAGGAGCCCCATTTACTTAAGAAGCGACTTTAAATCAAGCGTGGAGGTCAGAAGTAGAATAGCAAGTATTAATACACATGTTGAGACTGAGTCCCAAGGAAGTAAATGACTAATGTCAAATGTGCACACAGGCTTAAAAAGCTTGCGGTCTTTCCAGTAAAACTGTGCTAATATGGTAATATGGTTGATGGCAAGCATTCAGTCCTTTGGCACTTCGTTCAGTCAGCATTTATTGAATGTTGATTTTGTGCTAGGCACTGTTCTTGATGATTGGAATACAAAAGTTGTGATAATAGTGTCCCTGTCTTTGGAAAACACATTGACTAGTGGGAAACAAACATAAATATTTAAATGCAATGATAATCACAATGGGTCCATGCAAAAATTTAGTGTTTCCATCATAGGACAGTGCTAAATTCTGGTTTGGAATTTCAGGGACATATCCTTGAGAAAGTGAAGGATAATTTGCAAGTCCCCAAATGACATAAAGGGAAGGGAGTTTCACAGAGCAAGGCTCGGCTAGCACAGAAGCATGAAATAAGGAGTTTTGTGTGAGAAGCACTTATAATTCTGTAGGGCTAGAATACATGAGGCACATATTGTAAAAGAGAGAGAGAGACTTCAGGTTCCCTTCTCAAGTTGCTGATTCTTGAAACTATAGACAGTAATAATAATAGCCATTGAAGAGTCATATGCAAGAGAACGATGTACTCGGGCTTGAATTGAGAGAAATTAATTAGCGGACAGTATAGAGGCCGGATTGGCAGATGGTAAGCCTAGGGGCACAGACCAATTAAGAAGCTGGTACATTATAAATTATAAGCCCTTTAACTGTCAGAAAAGACTCACTAAAAGAAACAAGTTACAGGACAGTCCACCTTTTTGAAGTGCTTTTTTCAGAGCTGCACTTTATCTTATTTGGAGGAGTACATACATGGATAATGCAGAAGTCACTGGGTGTTAGGCCCTCATAACATGTGAAATGAACACCTTTCTTTTAAATAAGAAAACTGTTGTTTACAAAATTAAATAACTTGCCTACGATCACGCAGCTTACAGACAAAGGAGCCAAAACTTTGGACCTAGGTCTGTCTGACTGTAAGGACTTACCTTTTCATGCAGCACTCCCAGGTTTATCCAGCAGTTGCTTTGTGATAAAGTGAAATGAAGCAGCTATATGATACAGTTGATTGAAGAACTGGTTTAATTCATTTTATGAAATTGCTGGCTTTGATGAAACAACAGAAATTTATTTTCTCATGATTTGTGGGTAATTTCTCACAATTGTGGGAAAGAGAGGCCCCAAATCAAAGTGTAGGCAGGATGTATTTCTTCTGAATCCCCTCTTTGGTTTGGCTCGCATGTAGCCACCTTCTCCCCATATCCTTACAGTCTTTCTTCTGTGCTTCTACATCCCTAGTGTCTTTGTGTATCATGATTTTCTTGTATAAGATCACCAGTCATTTTGGATTAGAACACATCCTGATGGCCTCATTTCAATTTAAATCACCTCTTTGAAGGCCGTGTCTCCAATCACAGTCATAATCTGGGGTATTGAGCTCTAGAGGTTAGCATACGAATCTAAGGAAAGGGCACACAATCCCATGCAAAATTTATAACCTTGATATATGCACAGCCCTAATGCCTCAGAATTGGGAACATGGTATAAACCAAATTACCCTCAGTATCAAATAGTAGGTATTAACAAGGAATTCAGCATTACTGTCATCCTCAGTTACCAAATGTTTACTCTGTGCTTGACACTATTACATACATAATTTACAGAAATTGTCTCACCCTTCTCAGCATCCCCTGCAGTATTGCTAAATTTAGTTTAAACATGTCATTCTGTTGCATAAGGCTCAAAGAAGTTAAATTGCTCGTAAAATCTTATAGTTCTGAGCAATAGTACAAAGCCGTCCTGGCCCCCAGAATATATTCACTCTAGTATTATGCTCCTCTGTCTTTCATTTCTCTTTTTACTGTGGTTTTGGTATCAGATCAATCTGATCAATTTTCTGGAACAAATTGTTATTTGTATTTCCCATATACAGAGTTAGGATTTGTCTGGGAAATGTTCCCCCAAAGGCTCTTGTGTTAAGGTCTTGGTCCATAGGTGGTGGTGCTATTTTGAGGGGTGTTGAAACTTTAGGAGGTGACTAGCTCTAGGAGGTCACTAGGGGTGTTCCTTGGGGTATCTCTCCTTGACTCCTTCCTGTCTCACTCTGCTTCACAGCCACCATGAGGTGACGAACCTTGTTGAGGTTCTGCCCAACACATGGGGCCAAACAACCATGGACTGAACTCCTTGAAACTGAGCCAAAATAAGTCTTTCCTTCCTTAAGTTATGTCAGGCATTTTGTCACAACAAAAAAGAGTCTGGCTAACACAAAACATGATGCTTTCTAATCTCCTAGGAGTTGTGCTTCAATCCCGAATAGAAGTTTTGCCTTATCAGACTTGGATGATTTTGATTAAACACAGATTCTCATTTATGCTTTGTGTTGAAGTTGTAGGCTAAAACTAGTGAAATTAGGAATTCTGTTTTTCCAGCTGTACTTATGGTCTTTCATCAAGTAACAGTTCCCTGCCATTGTCCTCAAGGAGTGTACAGTCTTGAGTGTCAAGAAAGCAGGTAATACCCTGTAATTCCAAGTGACACTTAATGTCTGTCATCTGAAATGTCTTGATTTGGACATTTTTGTCCCTGTAAGATTAATTTCATACTTCAGTACTCTCAGTTCACGATTTGAAAGGACATTCTATGAGACAGTATCAATTGAGTATCCCGACAGGACTCTCACTTGATCTCCTTGTAGACAAGGCTATTCCAGAGATGCTCTGTGACACTTCCCCATGTAGGTGGGAGCACTGAGCAGAGGCTGACACTGCACAGTTTACTGTGGGAGCCACTAGCACAGGCAGCTGTAGGACATCTGTGCAAACTGAGATATGTAAAACATGCACTAGGTTCCACAGACTTTGTGTGAAGAAAAATAATGTAAAAGGCACATGTCATGAAAATCAGTTTCACCTCTTTATTTTTACTTTTTTTAAAATGTGAATTACAGATGTGACTGTCATTT